TGAGCTAAGAGTCTATCCACATAACCTTCCACATGTTTTGCTCTCACCCATGTATGAGCCACTTGAGTAAGCCACACAGCAGTAATGTACTAAGGATTGCAAAACCGAAGCATTCACTGAATCACCCCTATTTGTCAATGAGCCCTCATTGCCTGGGGTGCAGGGAGCACTGGGCACCCTAGAGGTACCTGTTTAACTCTCCTCTGGGGCTGTTCCTTCATCTGACAACCAGTTTTCTGCCAACACACCCATTGCCATCTGCTCCGCTCCTACCGGAGGCACTTCCACACTCAGGGTTGCTCAGAAGCTGCACTGTGACCCACGCTGGAGTCCCACATCTACCAGTCCAGTCCTAGGAAGCTACCAGCCGTCTCCACATTTCCAGCATTCTATTCTACACCGCAACTCTGAACTGGGCCCCAGCACCTCACAACCACCACACTGCGCTGTCGGCCACCCCTGCTCACATCCCCCCTCCACCCTCACCTCAGCATAATGTTGCTTCTCTTTGTTCTGCTTCCTAACAAGAGCCTTCTAGTGACATGACAAGAGAGACAGAAGGTGGCAGACAGAGGACAAAGATAACAATAGAGAGAAAGAAAGAAGGGCAAAGCCAGGGCTCCCTGACTATGGTTTAGTAGCTGAGGTGATGCAGGAGAAAAACAGCATGTCCACTCCCTCACAAGCACAAGGAAACCTAGAGGCCTTGGGCCAGCAACCTGCAATGCAACTAGAAAAATAAGGTTCCATAGGGCCAGCAGAAATAAAGGAAGAAGGGCCAGTGTCCCTGGAGAACTGGTAAGGACACAGCCTCTAGGGTCTCTCCGTGGACCAAAATGGGACAGAGAGACAGATTCTCTGTGTCAGAGTGACAAAAGGCCAAGCTGTAAAAACTGAATCATCTTACCTCAATTAAGTAGCATTCCAGACGTATGAAGAGAAAAAATCCTCACCCTGTGATAAGTCATGGGATGAGCATCTTACCTCTGACTGGGGTGTTTAAAGATGGGTTCTTATAAACAGAAAGAAATACTTTATTGAAAACACTTTTTTCTTTCTCTTAAAATGTCATTATTTGGTTGCAAATGCATCATTTTCTCCTCTGGCTATGAAGATCAAATATCTCCAAATATGCATTGCATAATGACCTGTTGGCAGGCTGCAAAATCACAGCTTGTTGCTGCCTTTCATGGAAGGAAAATGAAGAATTATAAAAACAGAATAATAAAAAAAAAATTCTGACCGAGTTCTTCCTTTATCAACTCTGTGACTGTTCAAGACAAAGACAGGTGGATGCCAGGGCCAACCTTTCAGGTTAAGAGTAACCTGACTCTGACCGAAGGGAATGCTAGGACCCATCATTCCTGGAAAAATGATACAGCTGTGCTATAAATCTGTGTGGTTAGGGAGGGAACTGAGCCTTCCATTCTCAGGATCTAAGGATCTTAGTAAGGTTCATTGTCCTTCTAGATGCTTTTCAATCCAAATGGAGCCAAGGGAAGAATCCCAGCCCACATTGGACTGGTTCTGTAAAGAAAAGGCAATCTCTTTAGTCTACACTGCAAATACACTTAGGAGCTGCTGTGGTCCCCTTTGAGCCAGTGGCCTGGAAATGAGCAAGGCTTGCAGGATCATGCAGGCCTGCACCAGACTGCACAGTGACTGCGGCACAGGTGTATGCGTGCTATGGCCTGCGGGTATCCCCAGTGTTATTTCCAAAAGCCTCATGAGCCCCAAGACACAGGATGGCTCTTGGCCCTGTTCTTCTGCCTTCATAGTACCAAGAGATAGGGACTCTTATGGATCTTTCTGGAAAAGGGATGGGGAAGAGACAGAAATCTACACTGGTCTAGCAGTGATGACCCCAGTGGCTGGGGAGGAGGCAAATCCCAGACAGAGGACCCAGACAGCTAGAGACAAACCACGCTACATGTGCCATCTGGGGAAAGCACCATTCCTCCAACTCGTTTTTTGAAGTTTTTATGGTTTCTCCATGTTATTTAGAAATGAAATAAGAATTTTTCAGTGTTCTCCTTTTCAACTGTTTATTTTCCTTGCTGAATGATTCCAAAGAAAAATCGACACGAGGCTGTTGCAACACCAAAGACCTGGAGCCGAGAGATGCATCTGTCACCTCTGTTTCTTCTTCTCATTTTTTCCCCTTTTCCTCCCCCATGGTTGCCTCCTTTTACTTCCTTCCACTTCTCTCTCTTCTCTTTGTCATGCCTTTTCTGTGTGTCTCACTCCATTTGTATTACTACAACACATGCCGAGACTGGGTAACTTACAAAGAAAGGAACTTCATTTCTCTCAGTTTCAGAGGCCTGGGGGTCCAAGATCAAGGCACTGCCTGATGACAGTCCAGCCACTGCTTCTCTGCTAGTGCCCTGTCCCTACATCCTCCTCAAGGGAGGAAGGCTGTGTCTTCACATGGAGGACAAGCAAATCAGAGAGTCCACTCCCTCAAGTCCTTCTCGCAGTGGCATTACCCACTCAGGAGGGCAGGGCCCCTGCCCTGAGCGCTCCCCAAGTGCTGCGCAGCCCTCATGTGTAGTGCTGGGGCCAACTATCCAGCACCTGGATTTGGGAGACACACTCCACACCCCTCTGATCACCGATTCTCTTCCCTGCTCCTATCCCACCACCCTAAACTTGCCGCTACTCCATTCCCTTTCTGGCCCTCAGCTCAGAGCCTCGATGTCTTATTTTAATCATGTAAGGTTTGGTTACATGAAGTAGGACTAGTTGCTGAAGTTTTATCATGGCCATAAGAAGACTATTAACTATTGCTTAATTCAGCCGTGACAGGTACCCAAAGTTCACTTTTAGTGCAAAATCTCCCCTATCTCTCTAGATTCTAAGGCCCATGAAATCATTCAGAGACCCTTGGTGAGGGAGTGGCTTCCAAATGAATATGAAGGTTAGGGAGGGGCCCAGGAGATGCAAGGGAAAGACAAAAACATTAAAACAGAACATCAGGTATAAATCTCGCTGCAGTCTGGCTAGGTCAGCCTAGTAGCCTAGCTTTTAACTCTGCTTCTAAGCCCATGTACATCACTTTCAAAATAGTCACTTCCATTTTCCACAGAAGATTGTAGAAAGTCAAAATGAAAAAAATAAAAATAGGGAAGGCTTTCAGTCCCCTAAGGGCATAGTAAGATGCTTTCACTATGAAAGGGGAAAACATTCTCCCATCATTACCACTGGGAAAGAAAATCTGAGGGACTGAATAAGGGCCAAGGCAGGCCCTGGGACACACACCGGCGCTGTCCACAGGGAACAGGTTCTCCCATCAGGCAAGGTCACCATCCCCATGAGAAAGTGTGGTGAGTCTTAGAAGACACAGCCTAAGACTAGAACCATGTTGGTCACAAAGACAAACAAGGTCTGAGCATCGCTCAGGACCACAGAGGCCCTCAGAAGCCAGTGAGATAAGCAGTGAGCCCTGAGGTGTGACTCAACACTGGAGCACAGCCATCTCACAAGATCCCAGGAACAAGGTAGACAGGGAACATGGGACAGGGAGTAGCCTGCCCTGACCACAGGCTCTGCTGGGACTTGCTTAAATCAGGTACAAATTCTATATCTGGGCCCTTAAGACACACACTGCCCAATTCACCTACTGTAGGAGCTCTGGTTTCCTTCAAGATGCCCTGCCTCCACTGTCACTGTCCCCACAACATTGCTGCATGTTCACCTGTCCTGGACAGGACCCCTTCTTATCATTCTTCCAAGCTGCCCTCTGGCCAGATCCATAACTACGCTCATTCTCATCCCTGAATGCAGAGAGGACCATGCCAAAGCCCTGGCCAGCTCCTGGCACACGTCCAGAGTGAAACAGATCCGCTTCTCGGCAGCACTTCCGCAGGGTGTGGGGGCCACAGCCAAGGCCATATTGCTGGATGTACGCCAACACCCACACAGAAACTGCTGCACGCTCATAAGCAAGTGCGGTGGTAGCTCAGTACTTCTCGTCCAGGGTTCTAGGAGGTGTCACAAGTACCAAAGGTGATGCCCACAAACACAAATTGCGTGGCTGGACCCAGACGAGTTCTAGCTTGTGTGACACAGACCAGACAAATCACAAGGAAAGGATAAAATTTTGGTGTCAAAATGAGTCCCAAATTCAGTGAGTCTCAAAGCAATCAAGTACCAAACTATGATTATACTATGTGCTCAGTTATGAAATAAGTGTACCATTATTTACCTGATAGTCATCTCACAAGGATTAAAATGAGATAATACTTAAAAAACACCTCGTATGGTATCTGGTGCATCTTTAACAAAAGTTGATTACTTTTGCAATTAATGGTAGAGTTGAAAGGTAATCAAAATCTTTCATGTACATATATAAATATGCATTTAATATGTACAACACATACATATGTATGCAATACTCTAATACCTATGAACATGACATTAGGGAGTACACAAACACTGTATCTATGTTATAATGTTTAACCAAAAGCAAAGGTGCAAAAAGCACTCAGTTACAGCTTAAAATATTAAAATAAAAAATGTATTAAAATTTCATGGACTGGAGAGATAGCTCAGTGGTTTAAGTGCCTGCCTGGCAAGCACAAGGATGCTAGTTTGATCGCAGTACCACGTGCTGCGCTGGCCCCGAAACTGGGTGTGGCGGCGCATGCCTGTGATCCCAGCACTGGGGAGGCTGAGACAGGAGGATCACTATAAGTCCAAACTGTGTAGTGAGATCCTGTATCAAATAAAATTTTTTTTAAAAGTTCATTAGCTAGTGCCTGCCTGGCAAGTGCAAGGTCCAGAGATCAATCACAAGTACTGAAGGAAAAAAAAAAAATCATTAGCTATGTGAAATTTAAGTATACTTTAAAAATATATAAAGTCCTCATTTATGAGACAGGACTTGAAAAAAGACAAATAGAACATTTTTTCTGCAAAATTATGTTAGAAAGGATAACAAAAAGAAAAATATATAATAGGCACAAGAAACGAAACATTGCACAGTCCTTTCCTCTTACCTTTGATCCAATGAGCGTATAGAGCCACTGGATGGTTTCATTGTGGTTAATTACTCCATTCATCCCATCCACGTACAACATAATCTGGCCCAAAGCTACAGAAGAGAAAAACAAGCAAGGAGATATAGCAGGTTTATATAGGAATATAATCTTCAATGGTCTTAATGTCAATTGATATTTTCAAACTTTTAAGTATATAGAGTGTTACAAACCAGACCTAAAGATAAACATTGAGCTCTGAAATGTTAGCTGAATCTCATTTTGGAAGGTGCTGACCACACCAAAAGAAGCAAGGATATTCCTGGCATCTCGAAAACACAATTAAGGCCCTAAATCTAGTGATGTTGTTTCTATATGTCCCGATGAATACATGTGTATTTTGTGTTCTCTGTGCGTACTTCCAGACCTAGGAAAGACTTCAGGAGATGATATCTGGGTTTGACTTAAACTGGAGCCAAGAAGAACCACAGAGCTTCCCTAAGCAGCCTGTCCAGGGACCCAGGCTGTGGCGAGCAGGCCTCAGATCCTATGAAACCATCCCCAGCCAGTACAACGTTATTCCTCTAGGGAACAAATACACACACTTAAATATTCTTTGTAGTTTGACTTAGAGATTTTTTGATTAAGATAATTAAAACTACCAAAAATTGTCATACATCAAGCATTAAAACCTTATTTTAGAAAAATATAGTTACCACATGCTGTTGTTATTCTCCCCAAAAAGGAAATATATGCCATATTATTTAAACAAATGGTAATTTAAATTTTCAGCTCCATTACCATCAAAATTTGGACTCTAGATAATAAAAAAGCATAAGCTACCAGACCATAAATAATAGGCTTCTTTAAAATCATGTCTAACCTCCTGAATCATATTTCACCCATAATTAATGCTGTAGCATTGATATTTCTAGGCAATATTTTGCAAGTAACAACAGGACATATAATTTCAGAAAACTAGTAAAATACAGAAGAGTAAAGTGAAACTACATAATTCATAATCCCGCAACTTAAAGATAATATTTTGTACTTGAGCCCTAAGGCTGAACCAGTCCTTCCTGCACGACCTCCTCCAGGTGCAAGATGGTGCTAAAGCCCACCCTTCTCCTGAAAGTGGGCCACAGGATAATGACCACACAAAGGAGGGGTCAGCTGATGCCTGACAACATGTGTCTGGGCCATGGGAGTCATGAAAACTAGTCATTTGCATTCTGAAAAAACTGGAGAAGGCCAAGACTGTCAGAGGCAGTGCCAGGTGGCAACATGGCTCTAGAGAGCAAGCCTGCACCATTCCATGTTTTGTCATTTGTGGGACTTACTATAGGCATAATTATTGATTGTGCTCCAGTATCTTGATGTAAATACGAGTAATACTGGAGGATTTTGCAGAGGTGTTGTGGGGATTGGCCTGGAAGCATGCTTGACTAAGCAGGTGCTTACCCAACGTTAGTCACGTAAGCCACCTCCTGGAGGCCAAACACCAGTCACTCACAGAACAGAAGCACGTGTGAAGCCCGTCTCAGAAACACGAAGCTGGGAGGGGCCTTCATAGGTATGTACTCAGCTGTCGGTCATGAGATGGACAGAAGAACTATGCTTAATCCAAAGTCATCAAAATTTTCTCCTATGATTTCTTCTAAAACTTTCATTTCATATATATTTTTTGTTACTTAGCCATGTGTTAGAATTTGGGATAATTTGAGTTCAAAGTATGAGGTTTAGACTGAGGATATATATCCTTCTGATCTACTATTCTTCATTGAAGAGACTGCTTCCTCTATTTTATCCTTTTTTTTTTTTTTTTTTTTTTTTTTTTTGTGGCCAGCTCAGCCAATACTGGGGGCAGGGCTGGCATGGCATGTGGTGCTGGGGACCGAACCATAGTCCCTGAGTTTGCCTAAGTTTGCCTGAGTAGGTGCTTTAGACCACTGAGCTATCTCATCAGCCCTATCCCTTTTTTTTGGGGGGGGGTGGTACCAGGGATTGAACTGAGGACCTTGTGCTTGCAAGGGAGGCACTTATTCTACTATCTCCCCAGCCCCCTATCTCTACTCCTTTTATAAATTAGAAAAAAAAAAACAAAACAAAACAATCAGCTGTGTTTGTCCACTTCTGTTCCATGGGCCTATGTATCCCTTTACCAACATCACATTATCTAAATTACCACAGCTTTATTACAAGTCTTCAAATTACATAGTGGGAGTCATCTCATTTCATTCTTCCTTTTCAGAATTGTTTTGACTCTGTTCTTTTGCCTTTTCATAAAAATCCTAGAAGCAGTTTGTCTAAATCAATAATAATAAAAAAAAACGTTCTGGAAATGTCATACTTAGATTCACAGTAAATTTTAGAATTGACATCTTTATTACATTGAGTCTTTTAATCCATAAACTTATTACAGTGTATGTCTATTTACTTCTGATTGTTTTCATCAGCATTTTCTAGTTCAACCATAAGGTGTATATCTAGGACATGATTTTGCTTTTTAGTTTTATAAGTGCTTCATGTCCTGTGCAGCTATTGGAAATGATTTCTTGGTTTTTGGTACCTGGAATCAGACTCATAACCTTGCACTTGCCAAGCAAGTGCTGTGCCACTGAACTGTATCCCTGGCCCTGGAAATGGTATTTTTTTAATATTTACATTTTCTGTTTATTATGAGTACATAAAATTTATTTTTGTGTTGGACTTGTATTGTGTAACTTAAATTTATTAATTCTATAAGATTCTGGTCATTTTATTTGCTTTGTTTTTGTCAGGTCACTGTCATTTTCTTCATAGAAAACGATGCTTTCTTTAAACCAGTTCAATTGTACTTCTTCCCGCCTAATCCAAATCTGCTACCACATCTTAGTATCCTGGTTCACGCTTCCATATAATATTCCACAGGAGTGGTGACAGCAGTCACCCTTACCTTATTGCCAATATGAGGGGAAGCATTTAGTCTTTTGTCATTGATTATAACATTAGATGTAGGATATTATAAATTCCTTTACCAAGTTAAGAAAATTTCCTCCAATTTCTTTTTCTTTCTTTTTTTTTTTTTGTTTGTTTATGCATTTGGTTCTGGGTCTCACTATGCAGCTCAGACTCGTAGTGATCCTCCTGTTTTTAGCCTCCCCAGTGCTGGGATTACAGGTGAGCGCCACCATGCCCAGTCTTAGTGGCCAGCTCAGCATGCCCTGGGGACAGGGCCGGCATAGCACGCGCTTCCGATTTCTAACACGTTAAGTGTTTTGATCATGAATAAATTAATTTTTCTAATACTTTTTCTATTTCAGCTGCCACGAGTATATGGCTTTGCTTCAGACTGTTAATGCAGTAGGTTATTGTATTGAATTTCAGATACTGAGTGACCACTGTATCCCCTCAGCCATGGTGCGTTATTTTTATATATTGCTGAGTATGATTTGCTAATTCCTTGTTAAGGAGCTCTGCATCTTTGATCATGACCGCTATTGGTCTGTAGCACCCTGCCTTTGTCTGGTTTTCATATTATGGTAGTGCTAACCTCATAAAATGAATTGGGAAGCATTCCATCCTCTCCTATTTTCTGGAAGACTGTATAAAATTGGTTTTATTTTGTCTTTAAATGTTTGGTAGAACTTGCCAGGAAACCATCTGGGCCTGGAGATTCCTTTTGCAGAAGATTGTTAACTGCAAGTTAAATTTCTTTATATGTATAGTTAACAATAATTGCAGTAATGGAGCTAGTAAAGTTATCTGCTTCATCTTGGGTGAGTGTTGATAATTTATGCTTTATGAGGAACTGAGCCACTTAAGAAAATGGCCCATTTTATCTAAGATGTTAATTTTATGTGATTAGAAGTATTCCTAGTATCCTCTTGTTTATTTAAGGACTAGGTCTTATCTCCTCTCATTCCTAACCTTTGTGATCACTGTCTTCTTCTTTTTTTTTTTTTTTTTTTGGTCATTCTTGTTGGTCAATTTTTTCTTTCCAATGAACCAGTTGTTTCACTGGTTTTTTTTTTTTTTTCTATTGTGTCTGGCCTTTCAATTTTAACAATCTCTACACTAATATTATTCCCTTTCTTTTACTTCTTCAGATTTTTCTTTTCTTACTCTTGATAAGGTAGGTGTTGGTGTTATTTTGTTCTTTTCTAATATAATCACGCGATACCATAAATTTCCCTCTATGCAGTGCATCCCACCAACTGTGATATAATGTATTTTCATTTAATACAAAAATTTTCTAATTTCCCTTGAGAATTCCTCTTTAACACATGGATTATTCTGTGCTTGGACATATTCCTGTTATCCTTCTGCTCTTGATTTAGTGTGATTCCATTCTAGTCAAAAATATATCAGATGATTTCAATTCTTTTAAATTTGGTATAGTTCATTTTATGACCCAAGATATGATCTATCTTTGTGGGTATTTTATACATATTTGAAAAGAATATGGATTCTTCTGTAGTTTGGTGGAGTGCTCTAAAGATGTCAGTTAGAACTAATTGTTTCATGGTGCTGTCCAGTTCTTCCAGTGCCCTGCAGATGTTTGATCTAGCAGTTCAATTAATTACCAAAAGAGAAGTGCTGACCTTTCCAACTATAACATGATTTTTTTGGTTAGCTTCATATATTTTGAAGCTCTAGTTTTCTGGGTGGACTATCCCTTCTGTTACTCTACTGTCTTCTTTCTCTCTTATTTTCTTTGTTTGCATGTCTACTTTCTCCTTTAATACAGTCACTTTAGCTTTCTCTTAATTAGTGTTTGCATAGTTTTGATTTCCTGCATCCTTTTATTTTCAAGCTACCCAGAGCATTATACTTGAGGCGAATGCTTGTGGGCATTTAGTTGGATTTTGTTCTGTTTATCCATTTTGATAATCTGTCTTCAGGTTACTATTAGACAGATCCTATTTAATTATTCATGTACTACATGTGAACTAAGTTCTCTTCTTTCCAATCTGCTGAGCACAACTAATGGCTTTTTGTTTTGTTTACTGTATTTTTTTTATTATTCCTAGCTTTTTCTTTGGGTTTTCCTTAATCTTCTATTTCTTTGCTGGGACTTTATTTTTCCATTCAGCTCCACTCATTTCATTCTGGTAGGTTCCCTCTTACTTCTTGA